GCAACACTTGCATTTTCAGAGCAGAGGGCCTCCATGCTGGTTTGTTTATCTTCTTTACATTCTCTTGGTGGAACAATGTGCCAAAGCTGAATAAGCTCAAACTTATCCGGTGGCTCGTTCGCACCCTTCCTTTTTCCAAACATGCATTTGATGGATGGCCATTGGTTTCATTCTCCTGTGAGGCACTGCTTCAGCAATGAAAAAATTGACCGGCTGTCAAATTCTAAATTTGTGACTCCTTGGAACGTTGTTTCGCCAAGACCTGTTTGGATCAGTTTTGTAAGGTTTGATTCGCCGGCAACGGGCAGATCGTGGAGCTCGAGCTCAAGGTTGGGAAGTAAACCAAACCACTCGTGAAGTTTTGATTCATAACATCATCTAGAGAAACCTGTTTGTAAAAAACACATTCTTGTTCACGCCATGCTGTGTGGCAAATAATATAGATCACCTTTACTGACAGCACAGCTGCGTTCTGCGAGTAAACCGGCCTTCGTGTAGCAGAGTGCTCTCTATGTACGTTGAAAGTCATCGGGTCAAGTTGCAGACGTGTTTGTTGCAAATGGACCCAATTATGTAATTTCAATCCTTCTGACGACTAAAGTTTGAGCTTTCCAGGAACCCTGCCATTCCACAAGGCACTGCTTCACGAGTCTGATTTGTCGATATTCATGCCACTTCGCAACAGAGACCGCTTGTACCGCACTCGTTTAGTTATGTTATGTTATTGACCTGAATGGAGAACATCCAACCATGCACCAACTCTTCAAACGACATCCAGAAATTCGTTCATAGAGGAATCCACAAGCTATATCAGAACACAGACTCGTGGCAGCCACTCATTGGTCCATTGCCAATCCAACGATGTATCGAGACGCATTTTTGGACCTTGGAGGGGGCTATGACACTTTCCAAATGTTTTGCAGAGGAGAACGGCTTCTCAATCGAGGTTTCTCAGCCTCTTGGGCTGATTGGAGTCACCAGGGATCCGAAAACATGATTCCGACGATTCAAAACCACGATCCTGTCCTTTGATTAAGATTCTACCACGTTCGATTCTGTCTTGGACACCCAATGGAAGGCCCAGGAAGGCGGCCAAAAAGTTTGCTGCACTAGTTGTTATTTTGTTTCCTTACAATGTTACAAAGGACGGCAATGCTCTGATGTATATATATATATATTATATACATATTTGTCCAATACTGGCCCTTTCCTTGGTGTGAATCTGTTGTTAGCCAAGGCTATTCGTGCAAGGGCCTCCAAGGCGGCTTTGGTTACAGGCTTCCTGGGTGCATTCAGCCTGAGGCCAGGCTAATAGAGTGCATTTTGAACCAAGCTGTCCTTTTTTGCATGGACAAAATGTGCCTTTAAATAGGGACTTTAAGCAATGACCTTTATTCTCGTAATTTTGACTCTTGATAGGGCGCAATCTCGGCGTTTGCGGGCAGTGCGTGTGCGGGCTGGCCACTGCCTTGGTGTTTGGTTTTTACAGCTTTGAGATACGAGAAAGGATGTGTTCAGGTAAGGCTCAATCTTTCTTGGCTGTATGGTCCCGCTTGGATTTCCAGGTCCAAGCTCCACTGAATATGACGTCATTGTCATAGGCCGGGTCCAAAACACTGACTGAGAACCCTCTGAATGAAAACCTTGGGTGACCTCAGGGTGACCGACGTCATCAAGGTGAGTACAGCACACACCATGGAACTTTTGCCACTCAAGGTGCTGGTTTGGGTGGCCTTGCCTGTGCTGCAGCTTTGGGGAAGGCCTGGCTTGGTACTGGCGTTCAATGAAAGGAAGTCGTACCGTGGAGGAACTGTGCTTGGAAGAGCTAAGAAGCAGGATTTGATGAAGTTACTTGCAAGCAAGATGCTGATGAAGACAAGGCTGAGAGTCTCATGCTTTGTTTTCACTTATGCGACCAAGGGACAGGAAACAATACGAACAACTAAATATAAGGAAAGAAGCAAAATCTATTTGAACACATGTTTGCCGCTTGCCCGTTTGTCGGTGCTGCAAAGCTTCAGTTCCGCAGCAGAGTGGGAGAGAGTGAGTGAGCGAGTGAGCGAGCGAGTGAGTAAGTCAGTGTGGAACAATGTCGGAGCAGCTGGACGGTTTGTATCGATGTCACGGGACATAGGATTACTAGATGTTACTAAATGCTACTAAATGTTACTAGTAAGTAACAGTAACAAGGGCATTACTACTATATACTAGTAGCAAGAAGCTACTAGTAGCAAGGTGCATTGCTATTAGTAACAAGTCCATCGCTTCTAGTAGCAAGAATCGACCACTCAATCGTGACACGAACATTGTCCACGGGTCACTCTCGGTCACCCGGTCGCTCTCCCAAAACTGCCGAGAGTGACCTCTCATCGCTACTAGGAGCAACGACGCAACGGCTCCTGGCCTTACTACTAGGAACAAAAGGACTCTACTAGGAGCAAAGGGCATCGCTACTAGGAGCAAAGGGCATCGCCACGAACGGGGCTTTTTCGCATCATTTGCCGACCTTCAAGGCTGGCCGGAAGGTCCTGGTTCTGGAGGCCCACTCTGTATGTGGGGGATGTGTGCGGCACCCTGGAACAACCAGTCTCATCACTCACGCGAAAGTGCTGTAACTTCGTTCTGAACTTGGTGTTAGAGGCAGTTGTTGGGTTAGGAGATCATTGAGTATGAAGAAAATATTGATTGAGCTGAGATGAGCTGCAAAAGAAGAAAACCAGAATTGGCGAGAATGATTGATTCTCAATGTCTCTTGCCAACAACCTCAGGCACATTCATTCACTCGCAAAGCCCCTGGAGGCAGGGATGATTATGGGAGGGCCACAATGAGCCAATTTGGGGATGATTAGGGGACTATTGAGGTATTTACTAATTTACTATTAGGTACGCTACTAGGGGCTCCTGGCATCGCTACTAGTAACAAGAAGCTACTAGGGGCTCCTGGCCTACTAGGAGCAAGGACGCTACTAGGAACTTTTCCGGCTGAACTATTGAGGTAGGTATTTTACTATGAGGTATGTGTTTTGTGTCTGTCAGTTTCAACTGAGCGTTGTTTTCACGAGAGGCGGTGAATACGTCTTCGACTCAGGGCCTTCGATCCTTACAGACATGGGGTGCGAACCTCAGAGTTTTCCTAGCGATGCCCTTTGTTACTAGTAGCGAGAGTTTCAGGGTGAACCGGTTGAGTCAGGAAACGAAATCCTTTGCGATTGGTGCTGGACTACGTGGGGTGCCTGGAGCGCAGGTGTCGATGAGACTTTCGTTTTGTTTCTTGTCACCAAGCCGATTGAACTTTGCAAGGGTCCGCACGAATGGAGTATAAATTTGAAGTGGACTGCAACTTATAGGCATGTGCAGTATGCCATATGCAGCGTGTTACAAGGGGTTTAGAGAGCAACTAGGCGAGGAAAAGCCACCTCTGTGGCCAAATTCCTCACGTCTCATTGTCTCATTAGTCTCATTGACCTTTGAAAGGCTCCAAAAAGGGGATATCGATTTGATTCTGGGAGAAGTCAGGTTGAGGCCAGTGAATATTTGGAGTGGATCCATTATGATGGCTGAAGCCTCGGCTTGTTGGCCAAGGGCTTCTGCTTAGCAAATTATTTGCTACTAATTTGTAGCAAGGACGCTACTAGGTGGAGGCCATCACTACTAGGATGAAGGCCATTCCTAGTAGCAAGAAGCTAGTAGCCGCAAGAAGCTACTAGTAGCGGCATCGCTACTAGGAGCAAGGACGCTGCTAGGGGCTCCGGGCCATTCCTAGTAGCAAGAAGCTAGTAGCTAGATGATGCTTTTGCCGCACATGGCGAGGCTGGGGGATGCTGACGCCCGAAGGCCCTTGGCGCCTCGAAGTGGGCAAAGACAGCTTTCGAGACAAGGTACTTCCGAGGCGGGCACATGAGTATGAATTCATATGAGACATGTGATTTGAAAGACAGCTTCACATCGTGAGGGCAGTAGACGACTTTTCTACAAACTTACACAGTAAACGAAGCCTTTGAAAAGCCTTAGCCTTCGAGCCTTAGAGGTATGGGGTGGCAGCAGAGGAGTTCGACGAGGACTGACCTTTGGCGGATTCGGTTTGTCTGCCTGCGGGCTCTGCCAGCTGCGAAAGGTGACCGATCTCTACACGGATTTCTGGGTCATCACTACGATTTGTATTGTTGCCTCATAGGCGTCACACCCACTCCATCATTGACCTTATCAGATGCTTCGTTTTATTCCCTTCAAGTGGATTTTTCACTTCTCAGGTTGTGAAGGCTTCCAGACCCCTGGCAGAGGCAGACCTGAGCGGAACCAAGCACAGTATGCATGACGACGACTTGGCTTTTTTGCACAGGTCTTCTGGAGATTCGCCGATAGTTTTTATGCTAAAGAAAACATGAGATTGCTGAAGATGGCTGAGATATGAAGTTGTCCACAGGATTTCATGGCAGGTGGGCCGGCAGATTCCTGGCTTGGTCTTGCGGGACGACCAGTGGTGCCGGCCAATTGAGCAGAGCTTTGCCATTTTGCATCACCTGTTTAAAGAACCTCCATGTGCCTGAATAAGGCCTTTCACTTTGTACGTATATAGGCAAATCCAAAGCCATTTGTCGCCTTTTTTGTGTCTCCACCCCCAGAGAGCGAGGCAAGGTTGAACGGGTCAAGAAGAACCCACAATTCTTGCCTTTCGAGAGCAATGAAACGACTGCATATGAATCAGGATTCGCACGGACAGGTGGCAACTGCTGCCATTATTGCTGAAGGTGGGTGGGATTGGGTCAGTATCAAGCAATCAGAGGAGGATATGTTATGTATACAAGTTATGTAGTTATGGTAGTTATGGAGACGATGATACTTCGCACAGTAAGAAATTTGTGTCTGCATCATCGTAGCCCTGTTGGAAATACCCAATCTTTTACAACATAAGACGTGCTACAGGAGAGATTCTGCATTCTACCTTTATGATTAAATATTGTTGAACTGGGCATTGGATTGGGATGTCGTTTCAGCTTGAGAATCCCCGCTGCCGTCGGGGGGCCCGAGATCTTGACCCTTTTTGGCTTTCGCCTTTTGGTCCGGAAAAGGCCGCTTCTTTTGCTTTGAGCTGGCGTGCGCCAGCCCTTCAATAGTGGCACCGGAGCCATCGATCTTGGTCGTCTTGCTCGCCCGTGCTTGCTGCCGCTGCGCCTGGCTTTGCTCGACTCCGCTCCCCTGCATTTGACCTCTTCGGCTACCGCCTCTTGCTTGAGTCCGAGGGTGGTGATCATTGCTGACCACCAGGCCACGTTCCTTGAGGAGAAGGGTCCGAAGATCGAATTTGATAGTTGTTGATGTTTCAACCTTAGGTTCTTGCCTCTTCGTTTGCACCCTGTTTCACGAGCCGGACCCCTTCACCATGGCTGATGAAGATAAGAATGGTGGAAGTGGCGCTTGGTCAAGAGTCCCAACTTGGGACGGAGATCCCGAAGGCTGGCGGGCATTTCTGAAGGAGATGCATTGGTGGATGAGCGCATTGGACCTTGAAGGCACCAAGCGCTACAACTTGGCGGCTCGTTGGCTTCTCCGCCAAGGCGGGATAGTCCGCCAGAGAGGCGAGGAGTTCTCGCCTGAAGAGCTCGAGTACCAGAAGGCCGTGATGGCTTTGGATCCTCAGACTGAGGAGGAAGTTGTGATCACCCCTGAAGACCCGCTTGCAGGTTTGAAGAAGCTGTTGAAGGCCTTGGAGTCCATCAACGGCAAGACGCTTTTGGACAAGCGCGGCGACCTGCGCAATGCCTTCTACTTGGAGCTTCGCCGGAAGCCCGGCGAGCGGATCTCGGAGTTCTGCACGAGATTCCGTTCCGCAGTTGCTGATCTGCGGATGGAAGGGGTGACGCTTCCATCATCTGAGCTCGGATGGTTCCTGAAGCAGAAGCTTGGCTTGGACGCCATTCGGCAGCAGCTCTTGGAGACCGCCCTCCAAGGAAAGGAGACCTACGAGGAGACGGAAGTCGAGGTCCTCAGGTTGTTCAGAGATCTTCATGCTGCCGATCCATTGGCAAGGCGCTCCAATGCAGAAGGGTTCAACAAGAATCCCATCATGAACAAGTTCCTCTCTCAGCAGCCTCGCCATCCGTCCTCCCGAGGTTCGTATGCTGCTTCAACGGCCCCGTCGACGACATCCTCATTTGGCTCAGGTCGTTCAAGCACGACCTACAGGTCTGACCGTCCCTTCCCTCGTCGACAGATGAGTCAACGGCAAGCCTATGCAGCTGAGGCCGATGATGAGCTTCGTGAAGAGCCGGAACCTGATGATCCGGCCACTGAGCATGAAGAGCATTTCACCCTTGAAGAGGTGCTCCAGGCTGAAGCTGAGATCCTGGCCACTGAGATTGAGGAGGCTGTTGATGACGGCATTGGTGCCGACCTCATCCAGGACGTTGAGGATACGGTTGAAAGTGCTGCTGAAGCCTTGCTCACCATGCGTGAGGCGCGCACCAAGTTGGCTGAAGTGAGAAAAGATAGGGGCTATGGCAAAGCCTCTCCAACCTCATCGACCTCTTCACCCTCTCCGAAGAGCAAGCTGGCATCCAAGAAGGGCAAAACGCCTTGTTTCGACTGCAACCAGCTTGGTCACTGGGCTGGAGACGCTGAATGCCCGAAGCCGGGTGCTGGATTGGGTCGCAAAGGGCCAAAGCAGGCTCTCAAGTCGGTGAAAGTTGTTGAGACCTTGAACACCGAGCACATGGTTGGAGCCGACCACATCGCTGAGGAGACAAATGAGACCCTGACCGTTTCGTGTGTTTCTCGCCACATGAGTTTGAAGGAAGCCCTCAACTCCAACCACACCAAAGAGGTCCTCGCCACCGGTCTTTCTGATGACAAGAGGTTGGTCGGTGCCCTCGATAGTGCTTGCAACCGCACGGTTTCAGGTTCGGAGTGGCTTCAATGCTTCCTTCGAGGTCTAGAAGGTGCTCCCCAACATGTTCGTGAACTGGTCACCACCGTGAAGGAGCACGAGGTCTTCCGGTTTGGAGATGGTGGAACTCAGGTCAGTGTTCGACGGTGGAGGATCCCTACTATGATTGGCGGCACCTTGGTTTGTATTTGGGTTTCTGAAGTACCAGTTCCCTCCCTTGGTTTGTTGCTTGGACGGGGCTTCCTCGAGTCGGTTGGTGCCACCATGTCCTTCGCCTCCCGGGTCATCCAGTTCGAGTTCCTCGACTCGAGTGTGATGCCTTTGAAACAGCTAGCGGCAGGTCACTTCATGCTGCGACTTCTCCCTTCGCAATGGGGAGGTGTGTGCTCTCAGCGTTGGAGGAAACTGGGAGTTGATGGTGTTGTGGAATTGCAATTAATTGAGCGTTCAGCAATGGTTGCATGTGAAGTTAGCTTCAAAGCATGTTCACAAGCCCATGAAGCATGAGCACCACCTGACCGAAGCAAGCATGAAGGCAAGCCGTGTTGTGCAGGGCCTAGCTGAACTTCGACGGAGCAGCGCTTTGGTTCAAGCCTCAATGCCTGGACCGGTCACCTCTGACCTTTTTTCGACGACTTCATCTACTACGACTTGCCCGTCGAGCTCGACTACCCCCAGCTCTGCGCCTTCTGATGCACGGCGGCTACGACGACGCTCGCAACTACGGCAGAGTGGGCAGCCGCCAGGGTCAGACGATCCAAAGATGGTGCCGCATGGTCGAAAGACTCGCTGCTCGGCTGCGCTGGCACTTATGGGGTGTTTTGCTGTGGCTTGTGCGGCGGCCCTCGATGCGGTACGTGCCTCTCCCGTACCCATCCATCAGCTCTGTCAAGCAGTGGAAGCTCCAGGCCCAGACGATGGAAGATGCTGGAATCCTTCCGAAAGGTTCGATCCTCAAGGCCGAGCTCAACCAACACTTCAACGCCACGGCAATGGCCGATTGCATTTGGCTGAGGAATCGAATGGGGCTACGCTACGCCTTCCTGGAGGATCCAGTTTTGACCGGCATGATGGCTGGTCGAGCGGCAAAGGGCCTCACAGCCCGAGTGAAGAGCCAGGCCATTGCAGAGGCCAAAGAAAAGGCTCAGGCGGCGATGAAGGACGGGACAGCGGAACAGGAAGCCCGAGCTCTCATTGGGCCACGTGGAGGACTGCCAACACTTCGCTCCGATCTGGTCAAGCTGGCGGCATTGCTCCATGTTCCTTTGGAGGACAAGATGACCGTGCCGCAGATCAAGGAGAAGGTGAAGCCCATGGTCGACCTTTTGAAGAGCAAGCCGACGACTTCGCCAAGCAAGGCATCCTCGTCAACGACACCTGTTCAGTCCGTGCAGGATCCACCTTCACCTGTCCGTCCACCGAACTTCAAGGCACCGCCGGCCGCCCTCATGAAGTCTGGATCGCCAGTGCGGGAACCAAGCTTTCAGTTGGCAGCAGATCGTCGGATGGCCGCACTGGAACAGATGATGAAGCAAGTGGGCACAGCGCTCGCAAACTTGCAATCCTCCAGCGGTGGCATGAACGCCTGGCAGACCGAAGGCCTGATGCCGCAGCAGTTCAACTTGGACGGCAACTCGGATGCCGACATGATCAGCCTCGAAGAGCTCTCTCCGGAAGCCCTTCGTCAGTTGCAGGAAGATGCAGCCCACTCCATGGAGAATGTCTACCAAGAGCGCCTGGAGGCCCAATATGGAGACATCGATCCAGCCTTCCTGACACCCGAAGCGAAGGAGGCAGTGCTGGATCCCTGAGTGATCCCTGGAAGCTGCATCAAGAGTTGAAGAAAGGCCAGGCTTTGCTCATTTCTCAAGCCTGGGACAAGCGCAAAAGAGATGGCCCTTCGTGAGACTGCCAAGGTGGCGATGACAAGATTGCACTTCAGCAGAGGCTTGAGGCGTGCTGAGTTGTCCAGAAGCCGGAACAGCACCATCCAAGATATCCCTGAGCCTGGATCCATTGTCTACTTCTTTCGATTCCAGAAGTACAACAACCGCAACACTGGCCATCGCAGATGGCTGACTTTGCGAAAGTGGCATGGTCCTGGCCTACTGGTCGCTGTTGAGCAAGGCTCTGAGGGCAACGTTGGAGCAAATGCATACATTTCCTTCAAGGGGCAGTTGACAAAGTGTTCGCTAGAGCATGTGAGAAAGGCGAGCCCCATGGAGCAGATCACTGCCGGAGATTGGGAGGAGGCAATTCGAGAAGCAGTTGAATCTTCGCTGCGTGACCTCACTCGCAGCGGACTGGCTGACGCCACTCAACCTCCTGCTCTTCAACAAGATGAACCCGCAGCAGATCTGGACTATGCTCCAACTAGT